TATTTTAACACCGCTAATTAAAGAATTAATAAATATTTTTTTTATTGAAATCGCGTTAAAAATGTATTATAAATTATTATAGGAGTATATAAAATATTTTGATTTTAATTTCTTAACTTATACACATATTGTAAGGACGAAAATAATTAGCTCTTGTTTTAAAAATAAATTATGTAATTTGTTTGATGTGAACTTGGTAAGAAATAATAGCGTATATATTAAGCAATTGACTAGCAACACAATTTTATTTTATTTTGAAGTTTTTCTTTTGTGGCTTAAACTTAAAGATTATCTAAGAAAATTGGACATGGACGCTTATGTATTATAGTAATTTTCATGCAAATGAAGTCATGTTGGCCTAGGAAGACTATTGACTTCTGGTCAGGGAACAAGGCTCGCACATGTGGATACATATACGCAGTTTTGGTACATATATACATGACATTTGATATCATATTCTTAATTAGTCGTGAGTAGTGGATCTGGCCCATCTTTAAACAAAAAGAAAAGAAAATTAAGATTAACAAGAAGGGTCTAGTAGGGTACGTAGTGAGGTCATCAGTTCCTAACAAAGAATTAAAAAATTATGTTGCTTTTAAGGTTAATTTTTCCTAATATCTCTGAGGAAAAAGACAATTAAACTGACTGATAAAGACAATTCAAGTTCTTCAATTGGACTTTTCAAACCGAAATTTTAGGAGTTTCTGGATGAAGTATGTAGACCAGAAGCAGATATGGATCTTGTTATTTTGCTACAGTTACCCACTCTCAAAGGCACAAATCTCAACTATACCAGCTGGTCTCTCCCGCTAAGAGATAAAATGGTCGGTTCAATAAAAAAACAAAAAGTTATTAACTTCACATCTTTCTTAATATCATCCATAAAATTGACACTACTCCTTAATTCTTGTTGGTTTGAACCACGAAATTGCCTTGCAACTGCATAAAAAGTAGAGACAAAAAAAATGGGTGATTCAGGGAAGCTAGCTAAAGGAAGCTTTCAAGAAGATACTGTATGATATCATAAATATATTTATTTTCATGCTTGATATGACAGTCGATTTTTATTTAATATTAATATACGTTTTTTATTTTATGTATATATTCAGAGAGAGGAAGGGAGGGAGAGCTGATATTTACCATATTAGGATCGAAAATCACAAATAACCATTCTTATTTGGGTATATAGTGTTTGATAAGATAAGAACAGGCTTAATTCAGGTATTTTTTTCATTAAATATGCGAACCACCATTCTTCGCGAATTAGGAAAAGAATAAATAATAGTTTTTAATTATATATTTTGAACTATAAAATTATATTTAGTTATGAGATATTTAAGGCTTAACCATATGATAAATTATAAAGCTTCTTGGGGTACGTAGTTCTAAAAATAGACAGCAAAAGATGATAATTCAAAACAGGATATGCTTGCATATATATTCTAATATTTCTTCATGTTTGGAAGATACAAGGTTTTGATAATAAAAATATATGAAAAGTTTATTAAAAACATTTGGAAGTAACGTCATGATTTACCAAAGAAAAAAAAGGTATTTGGTGGGAAATTGATGATGTTTAAGATTATATTATGTGTCGGCAAACAACCTTGGTTTTGGCCTTTCGACATTATCCAGCAAATTCTAGATAATTGTCATTCTCTCTTTGTTAGTGAGACAATCCACAAGTCCATAACAAAGTTATACGTTGAATTATCATTCGACAACACCAAAAAAGATAAAGATTAAAAATAAAAAAAAAAACAAGTCGACATGAAATTGTGAATGATGAAGTAGATGTATATTGGATAATGTGTAGGCCCCAGGCAAGTATTATGAATGGAAGTTGGTAAGGTTGAGATGATCGTAGTGATTTAGGGAAGTAAGAAGTTTGATAAGATTAATTAAAATTATCCCTTGAAGACGGAGATCCTTTGATATATATATATATATATATATGATGGCGATTGGTTGAAAGCAAAGTAGGTGGAAATTGGAATGGTAGGTTAGTTAAGTATGGTGAAGAAGTAGTAAATGGATAAGAGTAAGTAACTGTAACGGTTTGTTTGGTTTGTGAAGTATGTAACCCTTTGTTTTCTATGCTCAGGAAAGGCCCAAATGTTAAGCTTTAGCAAAGCCACAGTAGGCCTTTTCAGCTTCGGGAATCGGGAATGGGGGATACTTCATACTTTGCAAATTACAAAATCATACTTGTCAAAATAATTGTATAAATTTGTGAATTGTTATTTTAATACGAAATCGTATCATAATACACGACTTCATTTTTTTAATAAAAAAATATTAAATTAAATTTGTGAATTTAAATACGATTTTTTAAAAGTTCGTGAATATAAAACTACCTTCATATTATTTTTTAAAAAAGTCTGTGTTGAGGTCGTGTTTATATTCACGACTTTAGAGATAATAAATAAATAAAATTTGTATGAGTTTTAATTTACAACTTCAATTAAAAATATAGCTTTTCCAGTTATTAAAAATAAATATTAAAAAATTTGAATTCATACGATACGATATGATATGATTTTTAATTAATATTGTGTGTCATAACGACTTCTAAAAAAAACTTAAGTTGTGAAAAATCTAACTTTATATATTCAAACTAGCTGCCTTTAATTGAAATTTTTTTGAAAGAAAAATCTACTAATTTTGGTAATTTAAAAAAAAAATGCCCCGAGGTCATAAAGCCGCCACAGGTCGGAGGTTTAATTAAGTTCTAGATGTTTTTTTTTTTTTTTTTTTAGTTTTTCAATATCTTAAATTATATACTTTTTGTTTAATACATATTTTTTACGTAATTTAATACATTTTTTTTATATAAAATATTAAATCATAACTCTATTTTAAGTAATTTAATACATTCTAACCCAAGTATATAAATAATAAATATATGCATGTATTATAAATTTGAATATCTGAACTTATTTGTATTTCTATTTTTTTTTTATTCTTTTGAAACATGATTAAATATTAATTGAATTTGATTTAAATTTAAACATTGAAATTGAAAATATCTGCCATTTTTAGATCAAATTATAAATGGTCAATATATAAGAAAATATTACATGCTTAATAAAAATATAATAATTCTTAAAAACCCTCTGAAAATTTAAATTTACAATATAGGAATACAAGTACAACACTAGTAAACCGAAAGGTCTAGTACAATTAATATTCGACAGATAGTTTAAGTTTCTTAACGTGTACAGAGAAAATTGTTTAAAAAGACAAGAACTCACTCTGGCAATTCCTTTTGTGTTTTTTATGTCTTAGAAGAAATTAATTTTCGAATATCGACCATGATAATAATAATAATAAATAAATAAACAGTAGCCGTATTGGTCTATAATCTAGATATAATTTATAGGTAGAATAAATGGATCTTTTGAAAGATTGGTCTATGCTATGGATATTTTCCAAGAGCTAAGTGCTAATTGAGTAAGACCGTAGGGGACGGATGCGGATGCGCTGGGTTGTTTGCTTTGCTCACAGTTTGCAACATGTTTGTTATTTTATTTTATTTTCTAAAGCTACAATTTTTTACAAAGGAATTAAAGTGATTTAATTTCATTTTTACATACAAAGAAGCATCAACTATAAATTTATAATTTTTTCATAAAAAAAATAGACAGCTAAAATAATTAGGATAATTTCAGCTCTACAATAAGAAGTAGATGCCATAACAATTTGAGAGACAGCTATACAACAATTTAAAAAAATTTGAGAGTATCTGAATTAACTGGTAATAAATGAAATTGCCCGTCTTTCAATGCCATAACCAGCGGACAAGCCCCTCATGTCTCGGTAGAGAGCCAAAAGACAACTATATACAACATGTTTCGTTTCATGTTTAGATACTTCAAAATGAACTTTTACATGTTTCACTGCTCAAAATGACAAAGCAACTGTACCTATATATTAAAAAAAATAAAATAAAAAATAAAAAAAATAATAAAAAAGGGGTTACATTTAACCCAAAGTTTTTCTAAACATACACATAATCTTTGATATGCTTACAGCACTGCCAGTGTGTTTAGGACATTATTTTGGCTTGTAATGTCGTCAAGAACTTTTCTTTTTCTCATCTTCGGAACCGATGAGAGTAAAAGTTAAGGTTAGGATGTTGAGAGAATGGAGATGGAGAATTAAAGGTTAATACTCTGAGCATTCAAGAGTAGGTTGCTTGGAAAAGGAGTTGGGGTACATGTATTATTTTTAGTTTTTCTGAGGTGAATATATAAATTTCCCCATTGGTAGGGAAATTTAAAAACTCCCCCTCATTAGAATGACCCTACATTTTATTCCCAGAATCTTGATGGTAAACCAAACAGTGGGAGGGCTTTGATTGATAAATTAAATGAGATTTAAAAGTGTCGTTTTAAGCCCAGACAACTATTTTGCTTCACACTAGTATTATAAGGAACTTTCATCAAAGTAGCCAAACAGAAAGAAACTCACTACTACTAGAAGTCTACCATCCGAGTCATGAAAATTAAAACTACCATATCAAAAAACTGAAGATGCTATTGAACCATGAGGGTACGTTATTTTATTATAGGTGCAAAGCAGGACACCATTGATGTAAGTTCTTATTGATGTGCATAAAAGAGGTCAGTTGCCAGAATTACAGGATGGACCAGTATGCGGAGGATTGAGGCATTTAAAACGGGTGGGTCCTTCACTCAAATGACCTCAGTGCATGCATCGATAAATGCACAAAATTCGGGTTGGTGGGATTCCTATCCAAAACATCATTTATGTATTCAATTTGTTTCACCCTTGATAGCTTAGTAAGGTGCAGGGATGGATCCTGCTATCTGCAAATACCACACCCCCATTAGCTGACATGCAGATGCCATAAATTTGGCCATGGCGAAACTTGTACAACGTATATCTAGACTAGAGTCATCCAAAAATTAGCATAAAACACGGAGCTATGCAAATTAATCTTGGAAGGACAAAGAAGAATTCTAAGCTTGAATTAATGTATTAAACAGTTATTCACTTGATTCCAACAATACAAGTATCGGACCCGGTAATCAGAAACAACTATCATATCCTAAGAAAATCGTCATACGCTAGAAGATAGCAAATAAACCTCTTAGTATGGTAGTGAAATTACAGCAACCAAAAAGGAATAATTAAAGAGGTGATGGATGAGCGGATTTATACAGTATAATAACATCATAAAAAGAACCAATTCACTCGGCATCAATGTTTTCTAGCACCACAATAAAGAACTATTAAATACATCTCTATAGCTTGAATCATTCGCATTTTTTCCCCTAATCATATTATTCATATTTCTTGCTTTGTTTAAGCATTTGCTCAACTTCTCCACTATATGGTGCAACATGATAAGCATACTGTTGAAGAACAGAAAAGATAACCATCTCCAGACACACCAAAATATTCTGCATTGCTTCCTCAATGTGCTCCACGTCTAACCGCAAATGACGAGATTTAATGATGCCAAATGACGCTAAAAGGTCCAGCAACATTCCCTGCTCATGGCCAAAGAAAGTTATTATTATCAAGGAAACAGCTCTAGATGGAGATGCAATAATATATGAAGGATAAATATATATATATATATATATATATAAAATAAGGCTAGGAAAAGAATTGAAGGTACAATGTAAGAGACAAGCGGATGAATCAAGCAAATTGAAGCACAAAATTGTACATGTGTATAGCAGTAGTTAACAGGCATATCTGGAAATGTAATGACCCATCAAGTGGAAAATTCTAAATAGAATTGATAGGACACCAAACATCAAAATCCAAAACTATTTAGCGTTCAAAATTTCAAGCAAAAGTTAAAGGCGTTTAATTTCTTAACAAGATTTCAATTTTTAAATAATTCAGGAGAAGGTTACAGTCTTTAGTTTTGATTTGACATAAGTAGCAAACAACCTGTGTCAAATTATCTCAAATTGATTTCTGATTTGCATTCTTTCCCGGAAAATGGATACAGTAAATGGACAAATGGGAAGATTTTCCCATTTACAACAAATAAATATTGATTTCTCTAATTCCTAATTTGCATTTTATATCAGGGATACAATTATTACACAAATTTGTACGTGAACAAGGACAGATTTATAAGGTAATACTCAACACAAATGGAATATTAATTTATGTGTTTTACTAATTAAGATTCCATGTCACCATTATCTTGAGACCATGCAAGCTGACTTCATCATAACTACTTGCAAATTACAACATTTATTTTTTGTACAACTCGCAAATTACAACATAATAGGAACTTATGGTGCCCAACAATAGTAACCAAGCATTTTCCCTGCAGGTGAGATTGGTTACATGAATCTAAAAACGTTAAAATGTTTTGTTGCAAATCACAACTACAGAAAAATTATTAATCTCTAAATCCTTCTTAATTGTTTTGCCTATAATTTTTCTCAGTCTTCTTCTACCACTAGCCATTGGGTTACCCTCCATTTGGTCTACTCTTCCTACTGAGGCTTCTATATGCAGGGACAGGTCCGCCTAAACTGTTGTGGAGACAGCTGCCCCCACAAGCTTTATAATTTTCCTTATAATATACGCTAAATTACTTTTTTGGTTTCTCAATTGATTTAATTTATTCAATTTGGTACCTTTATTATTAAATGACCCAATTTGGTCTCTTAATTTTCTAAAACAATGTAATGTGATCCTCTCCATCCAATTGAGACTAACAACATTAAATGTTTGTACATGTCATTTTCTTATTGTGCCTTGTGCTCAAGATGTTAACATCGGTAGTTTTAATTAGACGGAAAAGACCACATTGTATCGTTTTAGGAAATTAAGGGATCTAATTGAACCTTTTAATAATACAAAAACCAAATTAAATAAAATGAAGGACCAAAATAGTAGCTTAATCTATAATATATATGTACCATTATAAAGTTCACCCATAATTTGAAATACAGAAAGAAGAATCAATTCATAATGAGTATTGCTCCCACAAATTTATATTTGAGTATTGTCCCTATAACTTAAAATTTCTGGATATTTCACTGGCTACAAGTCTTCAAACAATCCCGCACCACCAAAGGTTCTACCATAGATGCTATCTCCACTTTCTCTCCGATGCATTCATTTCCTATCCTATTTTGCCTAGTATGTTCAGTCATCCAACACAACATTCTCACTTTTGCAACATAGTATTTATTCTCTTGTTGACTACACCAAAATAAATAAGTAAATAAAAGCATTATGAAAAAAATTAAAAATAAAAAAAAAAATGGTTGAGAAGCATTGCCCATTGGCGGGTCTGACTATTTGTATTGATCCTATATGTAAAGACAGGCCTTTTCTGTATGTAAGTAAAGGAAACACCATATCAGCCGGAATTGTAAGTTCAGTAAGTTTAGTTGTTCAAATTTTAGTTTTTATATTCCTCTAACACGGAGGGATCTGTGGCACTTTGCTGCTTCTTTTGTCTCTAAATCTTCTCTAGTTGGTCATTTAACTTGGCTTATCTGATGACTATATAAAGGATAATAAGCTTACCTGCCAAAAGCAGAAGAAAACAATTCCTTTGATGCACAAGAATTTTGATAGAGGCTTGTGTGGTGCCAGTTCTTTAGCAAACAAATGGTAAAAGACCACCAGAGAATACAAGGCTAACGACACAGATATGTTGAGAATGATGGTGAATGTCCAGCTCAACCAAGTTGGATACAGCCCAAGCAACTGGAATGCAATCATCAAAATGGAACATACTGGACGGATGACAACAAACTGCCACGTCCAATATTTTAGAAGCTTCAAAGTACGGTGGTTCAGCCGAACAGTACGAGGCTGCAAAAGGTCAATTTACACAATTGTGAATACCATTACATCCCTAGCATCATATACATACACAAATTTTTAGTGAGTAGAATACATTAACACATCCATCACACAAAATTGTGCGAATATTTCTCCCCATAATATTATTACAATTCTAAGCATGCAAAATCAAGCCATACCTGAAAAAGTGTCATTGGAAAAGAGTGGTGAATTTCCCTGCCTTTAATTTCATCGGGCACAATGTTCCCACTAATTGATATGTTCAAGTAACTATACATCAAAGCCAAAAACTTGGCAATGACCAAAGCCTCATAACATTCTTTAACAGACTCCAAAAAGGTGAAAAACTCCTTGCTTCCTCTAATATCCAAGAGACCCACAAAGGAGACAGCTGCATAAAGGGGAGCCATAAGGATGATAATGATAATAGCCTTTTGCTCCTTTGGATTCTTCCAATAGAAGAGATGCTGAGACAATAACTGGGTCGTGAAATGCATGGAAAGCATAACACAAAACGCGGATCCCAGCACAGTGAGCTGTGCAGGATTGAGTGTACTTAGATCTATCATTACTCACTAAACCCTGACTGAGATGAAAGCCTAAAAATCTCGGAACCTGCAAAAGAAATTCAGATTGGGATCAAACCAGACAAACAAAACCCTCAGAAAGGTGAGACAAATATCAATACTACCAGCCCCACACTTCAATTCATATTAATAAGAGGTCACTCTACTTTCGCCAGCAAGAACAAAACTTGTATGTTTCACTTTCTAACAACCTAGTTCCTCTTGATATTCACATAAACTAAGACCACTTCTCTATGGAAAGGAAGTAAAGAGCGAATTTGATTTACCATAAACAGGTAAGGACTTGGATAGAAAAAGAACGAAATGATACTCACCTTAATCGACGCGATTCAACAATGGCAGCGGAAGTGATGTACACAAAGGGTTCATGATTTTGACTAAGTTAATAATTGAGACACACGTGGCACCACCGCTGCATTGTTTATTGTCTCATGTCAATAACGTTGTCATGTGTGCTTATTAGTGGTTAGATGGAGAGAAGTTGAGAAAGTTAGAAACATTGTCATCTTTATAATTTTTTTTATTTTTATTATAAAAAAAATTGGTCAATGGTCAATCGGGGTGATGGAATGGAAAGAATAAAGAGAAATCGTATTTGTATGCAACATTCAAAATTTAAGGATTTTGTTATTATTACGAAGGAAGAAATAATAATTTTCTCTCTCTTTTTTTATATTTAAATTCATTTAAATTAGATAAAAATATATTTTTTATCTCTTATATTATTTATTAGATTCAATTTTATTTTATTTTGATTAATTAAATTAATTTAATCTTACATCTTTAAAATATATTTCAATATTTAATTTTCGATTCTCCTGTTTAAATATTTAATGGATGTGACACATGTTATGACAGTATGACACGTGTTATGACAGAAGGAATAAAAAATCAAACATTAAAATATATTTTAAAGATGTGAGACTAAATTAAAATTAAACATTAACATACATTTTAAAGACATAAAACTAAATTAATTTAAATAATTAATGTAAAACTAAATTGACACTAATAAATAATATAAGAGGCAAAAAAATATATTTTTACCTTTAACTTATATTTCACGTTAAAATAATGTTTACTAATAAATGTTATATTCCATAAATATAAATTAATTTTTAGTTCTCTTATAACACTAAATTATCTAGGTTCATAATCATGAACCAACAAAAAATTTATTTAACTATTAATTCACTGTCAAAACCCTAAAGATATTCTGTCAAAATTTTAACATCTCCAAACAGTAAAATGAAAAGTTTATTTAACATATTTTATTTCCTTTTAATACATTGTATTTGAATACTTCCCATATTAGTTATCCATTCCAACATAATCTAATGTTCTTACTCTGAAACTGAACGTAGTGACTAGTGAAAATGAATTTAAATATTTCATATCATAGTTCATAATTTTCTAAGAGTTTAATTTTTGTGAACCCTCAATTAACTTAAAAAGTATATTAAATGCAACCTTTAAAATTTAAAGTATTATTATTAGTCAACAATTTGAATATACACATTATTTACTTTCTCTTATACTAATGGGATGGAGACATTTAATATTTTTATATTTTATTTAATAAAAATATTTTAAAATTTCTAATATTTATTAGATGAATTGGTATTATATTTAGTCTTTAAATTTTAAAACTTTATTTGAGTCTTATATTTATAAAAATGATTAATTTTTAATATTATTTTTATTATTTAAAATTTCAAAGATAAAACTATCTTGTACTAAATCGATTATCATCTTTATATATATTATATATAAAGATATATTATATATGAATAGATTTACAACAATACCATGAACTGTGAAGAACTAAACATTTTCACTGGGTGCATATACGCTCCGACTATTACTTTTAATTACTAGAGAATAAACGAGACCGTTGTTCACCATAAGGGGTTTGCTTTTCTCGGATTCTTTCTATTGTTGTCATTTTCACAATCTTTTGTGCTTTCAATGGCAAGCATCCAGATATACGGAATTATAAACTTTGGATATGGTACATATAATATCATATCTCTGTTCATCTATTTTTTTCATTCATTTGTCGCGCACAGGGAGAGGCCAATGAACAATGTTATTCACATAACAGTTCGCGCAACATTTTTTTCTCTTTTTCATCACATCATTCATTTTATCACACTTACCTCTCTTTTCTCTAAAAAAAAAAAATATTATGGTGGTTCTGTTTTATACTAAAGAAGCCAAGCTAGTGTGAAAATCTGTTTTATTCTTCCTCTTTCTGTGTTTATTGTAATCAAGTGATAATATAGTGTGCCTTTCGGGGTTGGCTCAATTGACGACACCATCCAAAAGCCAAAAGGAGATCGAAAAAGAGTTTCTTTCAACAATTCACTTCTTGTCATATCAATTGCCAATTTGCCACATACGATATGATTGTTGCATGCCATATCAATTCCTTAGCTGTAATTTTAAACCGCACGCAACCTTATTACAAACCTGAGATCGTAATAAACAAAGATGTCCAAACACATAGGATCCAAATGTATGTCACGAACTTCAGTATTTATCACAATGTTCATGGCACAAGCAATATCTTTCCAATATGCTGGCTGCTTTCCATAAGCCGGTGAGCCTCCGCTGCCTCGGAAAGAGGGAAAGATTTATAGATCACAGGCTTAACCTTTCCTTCGGCAATTGCAGGCCAAACATTCTTTTCCACTTCACTAACAATCACGGCTTTATTTTCAACACTTCTACTACGTAGGGCAGCCCCTGCACAATATCCACCATATGACATTCACAAATGTTATGCCCAACCATGTTAGTTCCTACCATATACCATTAAAAAGAGCTCACATTCCAATGTTTCCTCGTACAAAACTTGTTTTAAAGAAGATCAAAAGAAGTAGAATTTCAGAAGGAGATGTGCCTATTCTTGTGGCGGGTAAGTCTAGAAGGAAAATAACCAGTGATATAAACAACTCAAAAATTAAAAACTCGAAGAAGCTCCGGTACAGAAATACAGAATGATATACAATTCATAAGTAGAAGTCGTTGGAAAATAGTGAAAGTTTACTTTTTATTTTCTCATCTGTTTCCCCTCTACCCAAAATTTAGTAGAAGTTCAGAAACAACTTTATACTTTTGTAGCTATTGACATAAGTGACTTGCTTTTTTGTTTAATTTCTTCAACGTCCAACATAAAAAAAACATGGCACCAAGTTTTTACTTGCACATACAAATGTTTACATGTAGAAAGTAAATTTGAGCAAGAGCACATATTAGTAAAGGGTATAACCCAAAAGTTGTAATACCTTGTACTGTAAGGCGCTTGGCAAGTAAAGGGCGGAGATCTACTTGTGTAGTAACCCCACCTTGAAAGCCAATAATAAAAAGCCTTCCATCAAAATTCAAGCTATCAAGATTTCTTTGATAGTAGGAAGCTCCCATACAATCAAGAATAACATCAACACCTGCCACCACGCATCAATTACAGCGTTACATCATCATGCTTCTCATTAACACCAAGGATTGCTGGAAAATTACCTTGACCACCCGTTTCTTCCTTTACCCTCTCAACAAAGTCTTGTGTTTTGTAATTGATGCACACATCAGCCCCGATACTCTTGCAAAAAGCCAGCTTCTCCTCACTTCCTGTTGAGCAATATGTAGAATAAAATTTAGGCAAAACATTGATTGGAATTTGAATAAACAAGATGGGATAGTAAGCAAATGAAAGCACAGCAGTTCCACAAAAGAATATAGCAGAGAAGTAATGTAGTGATGTGAACCTGCAGTCACAAACACTCGAGCTCCTCGATACTTGGCTATCTGAATTGCAAATGTACCGATTCCACTGGAACCTCCATGAATCTGAGAATGAACATATTAGGGTAGCAGTATTAGGAAAGAAAAAAAAGTAGGAAGAGAAAGGTGAAGATAGAATAGAAGTGTGAAGATGGTTGCATAGTGATGGAGATAGAAAAGATTGGAGATGAAACATACCAAGAAAGATTCCCCTTGAGATAAGCGACTGGTCATGAAAACAGTAGACCATACAGTACAGGCGACCTCAGGAAAAGTAGCAGCATCGGTGAGGGAAAGACCGGGAGGAAGAGGAAGTAGTTGGACGGCGGGAACGGCAACTTTCTGGGCATATCCTCCTCCGGCGAGAAGAGCACAGACCTGTGAGTTAATGATGGAGGTGAGGGTTATTTAAGAGTAATGAGAAAGGAAAGAGGGGATTATGAAAACCTGATCGCCGATTTTCCATCTGGAAACATGAAGACCAACAGATAGGACAGTTCCAGAACATTCGAGACCTAGGTAAGGGCTGGCGCCCTTAGGGGGAGAATAGGAGCCTTTCCTCTGAAAGGTGTCGGCTCTGTTAAGGGCTGTGGCGTGGACTTGGATGAGAACCTCGTCGTCTCGGAGTTGGGGATCTTCAACTTCTCGAAGCTGCAGCACTTCGGGACCCCCCGGACTGCTTATCACAATGGCCTTCATTTCCGCTCTTCACTTCGCTTCCGATTCAGACAACCACCTCCTTTTATTTTGTCTTTTTTTAACAAAAGCCTTAAATTTTATAAGATTTAAATATATTTTTAATTCATTCAATTAAAAAATTAATTCTTTAAATATAAAATTTATTTTTTTATTTCTAAAATTTTATTTTAATTTTTATATTCAACTTTTTTAAAATCTATTAAATTTTATTTATTAATATTAATATTTTTATTAGTAAAAATATAATATTAAACTCGATTAATATCTTCATAATATTTAAGTTATTTTATAATTATTATCCTAGCAAAGTGACAGCATCCACAAACCAGTTCTACACGAAATTCATTAGACACAAAAAAAAAATTAAGAATACAAAATAAACTCTTCAATTAAAAATAATCTAAAGAATTGTTATGGATAAGACAAACCTAAATCCTAAAGTCTACACGGGCACAAAGTCGAAGATTTTACCCTTTTAAAAAAAAAATTAAGGACAATTAAAAATAGATTAAAGAATCGTTATGGGGTGAGAGAAACTTGGCCGGTCCAGTTAAAATTGAAAACTTAAATCAATTAAAAATTTTAAAAACAATATACACGGACACAAAGTTGAAGATTTTACCCTTAACCATATTTATTAACATTATATGTTAGAGATATTTAACTAATCAATCTTAAATATAACATTTGATAAAATATATCAATTTTCCTTTAAATCAATTTTCCTCTATTACATGATTTATTTTCTCTACTTTTAAATAAACTCCATTCTATTGTTTTCACCTATTTAAACTTTAACATCAATCCTCGTCCAATCTGACCGAATCAAACTAGTATTGGCAACATATTAAGCAAACACTAACAGAGCATGTTTTATTTTATCAATTCAGGTTCAATATTCTCAACACCTAATCAAACTCAACTCATTAATTTTAGCTAGTTTAAAACAAGTGTAACCTAGTTAACTAAACTGTGATTGAAATAATATTCTCCATACATAAATTATATATGCATTTAAAATAACTAAAACAAAACTTTTATAAATAATTTGTATATAAACTAATTTCAACTCATTAAAAATATTGGTATTAAATCTTCCCTCATTTATCTCTTTTAATAGTGCTTCTAGAATAATTTGCCGTACAAAGAAGTGTCATCAAACGTCAACATAAATAACCAAATGTTTGTAAATCCTTGAGTTACAATTTTTTCCTTAAGGACCGATTATGAAAAATATCAAATTGAGAATTTATTTGCGGTTAATTGGAATTGACAGTAGGAAGCAATGTTGAAAAGAAAAAGGTCACAACACCACATAAACATAAAATCATCAAAAATACAAATATATTATGTTTATTGCCCACAAAAAAAGGAGAAAAACCCACTTTGCTAGCAAAAAGTATACGCTTAATATTTAGTATAAACTGTCCAAAGGAAAATCTACAAAAGTTCGTACAAAGAAAATTACTTTAAGCATAACCACGTAAAATAGAAGGCAAAATTATCAACTAGACGGCTAGGTAATTCATATCCCATTTTAAGTTCTTTAATTACTTGCTGTCAACCTAAGAAAATGTTTGTTAAATTTGAATCAAAAGCTGTCACTAATTATGAAATGAAACATGATAAAATTTAAGCCATCTGAATTTATTATATTAAAACCTAGATGCCAGAAACTAAAATGGTTCCCATGTTAAACCTGAAGCTACAATAACTATAAACAAATCTAAAGCTTGGGCTGAAATGAACTATAAGATAAATTACAGAGCAACTCATGTATACCAAAAAAAAACTTTTAGCTCCCACGAGGCAAGCATTGCATGGTTAAACCTTTGAAAACCAAAAAATAGTCCCCAAAGGCAAGCAATGCATGGTTAAACCTTTGAAGATGCCACAAAACAATCTAAAGGTCGTTTATAATGGAAGCCGAGTTTCCGATGGGAAGACAATGTTTGGTTACAAAAAAAGAAAATTCAAACTGTAATGAACAAATTGACATCTATGGAATTAACATTTCACTAAACATTTTTCTTTCAAACCCCTGGAAAGGAATATTCCCCCAATCCCTCATTCACATTCATTCGAGTTCAATGAAACATCCAGCCAGTGCCAGATGACAAGACCCAACCTAGGAGAATGAAAGCGACACAAGTTGCTATAACTTAAAATGGAACCTAACAGTGCGTGTCAGATTACAAAATTTCAGCACCTGATACTCAGCCAGGGATAACTGTAAAATTTATAATCTCATCATCCACAGCACAAACCAGATAGCCCAACACGACAAAAACAATACCATAATCAGATAAATCATAGCCTAATCACGGAGATAAATGAAAAGTATTCATCATTAGGTACAGAACAGAGACGTTCATCAATAATGGTTGCCTACTCTAACGAAGAATACAAGACAATCCGCAGTCACGAGATATATATCCTTTAAACTAAACTAGGCCTCATTGAGCAGACGCATATTAAAGTTGAAAACACGAGAATGGAAGACTGATAGGCGCATAAAAAACAAAAAGGTTTGATTAACATAAGAGAAGTGCAAAAAGGGGAATGAATAGTTGAAAGGGTACATAAAATAGTTTAGTATGAGAAAGAGACTAATCGACGGTTTGCATGATGTCTTCGGGGGCGAACTTGGTGCCCTTCTCCTTGTCGGCGGCGGCGCGTCCCTTGGCCTTGCGATCGAGAAGAGCCTTGCGATCCTTGTCGAGCTTGAGCTTCGTCACCACCACTTTGGAGGGGTGGATTCCCACGTTGACGGTGGACCCGTTAACCTTCTCGCGGGTGATGCGCTCGATGTGGATCACCCACTTGCGCCGGTACACCTGCGTCACCTTTCCCTCGCGGCCCTTGTAGGTCCCGCGCACCACCTGCACCTCGTCCTCCTTCCGCACCGGGATCGACCGCACGTTGTACTTCGAACGGAGCTCCGCCGAGAGGGGCGCGCTCATCAGCACGCGCCGCACGCTCGACGGCGCCGTGAAGTGAGCCTTGCGGCTCTTGCGGCGGCTGCTCGACACTCGCGGGTTGAACTTCATCTTCTCTCTCTCTCTCTTGCCGCTGCTTTCTAACCCTAGGCCTTCTCTTTCTCTTTCTCTTTCTCTCGGAATTTATTGATGGGAAGTGCCTTAGCTAGGGTTTTCATTCTTTTAAATGGGCTCACGGGCCTTCTTTTTACTCCACCGCCCTTTTGGGCTTAACAATACTTTCCAAATAATTCCTTAACTGGGCCGAAACTATTATATTATTATCGCATATTTGTTCTTCAGGTACTGCTTGGCTGGAATGATTATTTATTATTATTAGTGGGATTAAATTATTTTATGTGATGAAAATAAAAGTAACTTCCAATTTTACTATTTTACAATTGTTTAGAAAATATGAAATTGAAAAATAATTACAAATCAATTTTTTTTTGAATGGAGGGGGCCAAAATCCCTACGATTAATTAAATAAATAATAGAATTCAATCACACAAAAGTCAACCATCAAAGAAATCTACGATATATCTCTTTTATATATAGGTATACATGATACATTTTATCCGCATTATCCAATCAAGATTACGTAACAGTGTACCATAAGCAAAGACCTCAAAACTCGCTGTATATACCCGAATATGCCCCACCTTGCTTCTAGTTAAGATCAACTTGGAAGACACTTTTTAAATAGTAAACTAAATCGTGCACTCCATGAAAACCCTTTTACGTGTTACTTCAAGTAATCATATAAATGCCTATATATCTGCAACGTACCATCCATCCTGATGAAAACAAAACATTCATACGCGGAAAACATAATTTAGTGAAGAGATGGGTAGACTTAGATGTTTGGGAATGTCTCTTCTTCCATTTGGATTTCTCTTGTTCTTTACTTCAGCTTTCATCGGAGTACCTGGTGCCCTTGCCTGGAGCAAAGAGGGTCATGTCATGACATGCCAAATTGCCCAGGTAACAAGCAATTCATGCACCCCACTTCACTAATCAACACATTATATATCAATTCACTATCACAAGAACAAGCATCCACCCCACTTTTCTTTTTTTAATAACTATATTATTGATAGAAAGTATCATCCATCAATTTTATTGATGATTAATTTTTATTAAAAATTTTGACTAATTTGATAAGAATTTTCCTTTTGATCACATTTTTTTTCATTCACAAAATTCGAAATTAAATCCTTATGTGTTGGGAAAGGGATAGTAAATTAACTACTAGGTTTGAATGTTTATTAGTGGTTGGGTTGGGTCTTAATTATTAAATAGTAATTGACATTTGGTGTTTGATAAATAGGCACTTCTGGAGCCTGAGGCAGCAGAAGCAGTGCACCATTTGTTACCTGAATATGTGAACGGTAACTTATCAGCCCTCTGCATATGGCCTGACCAAATCAGACACTGGTACAAATATAGGTGGACAAGTCCACTTCATTTCATTGACACACCGGATAACGCTTGTTCTTTTAAGTATTCAAGTAAGACTACTTATATATATATATAGTAATTAATCTTGTTATGTGCTCTCATTAAACCTATGATATTAATGTTAAAATTTTGTTGCTGTTTGTTACCATAGGGGACTGCCATGATCCCCATGGCGTGGAGGATATGTGTGTTGCAGGTGCCGTGAAAAATTTCACTTCTCAACTCATGCATTACAGTGAGGGAACATCTGATCGGAGACGTAAGGAATCAACATTCTCGATATTTTTTCCCTCTTGGCAAACTTTGAACATATTTCTTTCCTTAACTGGACTTTTTAATAGATTTACTATACTGGAAATGTACATTTTTATCATAGAATAAATAATTTTGTTAAGAAGAACTTTCGTGGGATTTTTCACTTGTATTTTTTCTTTGATGTTTTAATTGTTCTGCTTAATAGTTTGGTTCAATCTTTTTGGTTTCTGATCTTGCAGATAATATGACTGAGGCGTTATTGTTCTTGTCACACTTCATGGGAGATATACATCAGGTGTGTGAAAAGCTTTTCAAAGTCTTATCACATATGTAATATATAATACATCCTTTTACCAATCACTTTAACTAGAATTTTTGGGACTTTTCTTTTCAGCCAATGCATGTTGGATTCACCACTGACGAAGGAGGAAACACAATAAATTTACGTTGGTTTAGACACAAATCTAATCTGCACCATGTAAGCTTCTACTTCATCTCCATCTAGTATTCACAGAGTACTTCTTGACGAGCCAACTATTAATTTCGCTGTCTATCATTAGGTGTGGGACAGAGAAATTATTCTCACAGCACTAGCAGACTATTATGACAAGGATGTGAGCCTCCTTCTTCAAGACATTGAGAGGAACTACACCGATGTAAGACTAAATTTTTCTGATCACCCCCTTCCTAGTTTTTATTCATCACAAGGATTCTTTGATTGATTTCAAATAAAATCAACAAAATAATTTAAGTTTTCTTATAGGGGATTTGGTCAGATGATGTTACATCTTGGAAAAACTGTAATGATATCTCTCAGTGTGTAAATAAGTGAGTTCTCCCTCTCTTCCACCTCAGTTTCCTCTATCTTTTCCTCTGGCTGTTAATGTTTACGTTCCTCACGTTTTGGACTGATATAGTTGGGCCAAAGAGAGCATTCAAATAGCTTGCAAATGGGGTTACGAAGGAGTTGAATCTGGAACTACCCTGGCAGGTAACCTAATTAAGTCACCAACCATGAGTTAGAATTTAACCGGTCATTTAAGAGTCTGTTTGGAATCAAATTTAGAAGAGTTTTTTAGAGTTTCTCTGGTAAAAGGAAAAATAAAGAGTTATTCATAGTATGTGCTAAAAGACCAATTCATGAAACTGCATCATCATTGATAACTTTGAGGATTTTGTGTAGTGACCTTTTTTGTGTGATGGTTTTATAGATGATTACTTCGACTCGAGGATGCCATATGTCATGAAACGAATTGCTCAAGGAGGAATTCGATTAGCTATGATTCTGAACAAGGTTTTTGCGGACTCTGAAGAAGGACTTGCAACAGCAACTTAGGCACACTGCACACAGACACATCAACACAAAGTTGTTTAAAATTTGTTAATGACCATATCATCTAACTTCATTTGTTCTCAATTGGTAGTCTTAGCCATTTTAGTCCATAACGTTTCTGATTACAGTTGTAAGTAATTTTAGCATGTACTAGGCATTTCAGAATTCCTCAAAGCTAATCAATGAATCAAGCAAAAATATAATTATTGATAAGCAAAGCAATGATGTGTATGTGTTTTAACTCTGGCTAGAATTTTATATTAGACTTCCTGGCTAGAATTATAAATTCTTACTTTTTTATATTTTAGAATTTTATAATTTTAGATAATTAAAATACTTTTACTATAATACTAAAATTTCAATTTCTTTTTAACTTTTTATCCAATTAACATTTTCACCGCAAAACATTTTAAATTTATTAAAAAAAATGAATTATTCTCTTAAAAAAATATATATTCAAACAGGAATAAGATTTGAACATCGTAAGAAGTTAAACCGCTTTTATTTTGTGTAAGGTCCCTAATTTGTTATTAGTTTGAAAACAACCTCGCCTCAGTTTTGTTTCTAAGTTCAAAAATATGTTGGATTAATGGATTAGTCCTCACAATCTTTAAATAAGATTATTTACTGCAAATATGTAAGAAGACAATATATAAGACTATAAAAATATTATCTAAATAATATAATTTTTTTCACAGAACATGATAAATAAATAATAAACTTAAAACTCCACCAATCAAAATATAAAATAAACACATGAAACTTAATCTTAACTCTAATATATAAGGGTGTGTTAAAAAAAAACTGCTTGTGAGAAAAGTTAAACGTGATTTTTTCCTTTTCCAGAGAAAATTAGTGATCTGTTAAAACAATGCACGACATCATGGGTCAGGACAGGGGAGATTTGGGACCTAACATCCCACCTTTTTTAGAGCCCAAAAAGAAATATACTGTAAAAAATGACCCAGTGAATCTTTAGTATTCGTGGAACACACACCCAGAAAAAAAAAAGTATATGGTATCCGTGGAATGTGGATGTTATTAGATGGATCTGGATCCAATATTGAAATTTGGTACAGTTAGCAAATTATAGCAAGATTGAACGGCTCAAATTTCACTATCATCAAATTTATTTTCGTAATATTAAAATTAGATTATAGAATTTAAAATGTGAAAACCTCTCTCTTTTTATCATCTTAATTAGACATTATTAATATTCTTCCATTTACATACTACCTTTATAATTAATATATAAAAAATACCAACTTTTATCACAGTTCTTCTTCACATTATAACATACTTTACCATTGGAATTCACATGTATACATATTTAATTTAGGGTGTGAAAACTACTAAATTATCTTGTTTGAATTTGAAATCGAATCCCACCGTCCAAAAAATTATAACTATTTAAAAAAAATCAAATCGTATTATTTATAAAAAATGGATTTTAAAAATTATACCGCATTGGTAATTAGGTTTGATGTATTAGTGTGTCATTTTTAAACAATAAATAAAATCAAAATAAATTAATTTATGTATATATCTCATATTTCTAAACATGTATAATATCACATAAAATATTTGAATATTACTTATAATTGTCGTATTTTTTATTTTCATTTTTTTTACTTTTTATTGTATTTTATATTATTAAAGTAAATGTTAGTCATTAACTCATGTTTCATAATTACATTACAATTATAATTTTTCAATGTTTTTTAGTTGACTTTTATGAGTTTGTTTGTATAAAAAAAAAAATTGATAAATGTTTTTAATAAAATAAATAAATTTTTTAACTTATATGGTGTGTTTGTCTACTTAATTAGTTAACGAGTTAAATGTTTAAATAGTAAAAAAAGTTAATTAATCTCTAAAGAGTGTATTAATCATGACTTTGTTCACAGATTTGGAAGAAGAACAAAATCTTATGAAAATCAGTTTAAAATTAGTTCAATTCATAAAACCAATTTGAAATTGGTTTAGTTTTGAAACCAATTCTAAAGAAATTTTAAATCTATTTATAAAAGTTGTTTGGTTTTAAATCATTTTATATTAATGTAATTCAAATGGTTCATAAATCAATGCAATTTGATAAAATAGTGCGATGCAACCCAATGTGATTTTTTTAAACAATCAAACATACACGCCCCTAATTTAATGCCCTTTATCTTAATCGGTTTATCGATGGCCTATCTTCAATTTATTGAAAATGAATAATTATCCATTCACCTCCATTGTGGATGTTACACTCATAAAATGATTATTACAAATAATGTGAAGGAGACGAGAGACGTTAACAATAACCCATGTTTTTTATAATTATTTATCAAAATTAGTGATAACACCATAGTTTGAATCTAGGATCATGTATTTATCATATTGACTTCTATTACTAAATCAACCCTATTGAATTATCTACATGTTTGTTTTGGCATCTTGGGGAGGGATTTAAAAAGAAAAATTATAAATAATGTCATGGTTATCAAAATTGGACAAAACTAACTAGTTCGACTGAGAATCGATCTTGAATTGATTCAATTAATCTAAAAAAATATTTTACAATGAACTGGTTAAAAATTAATACAACTGGTCAAACCATAACTAGTTTAAATAAAAATAATAATTTGTTTTTAAATATTTTTAATAAAAATACATATTTAATAAAAAATTATCAATTAGAATAACTTATTTTTAATACTTATCTTATAAATATAATTTAATAAACTATACTAATTTTCAATGTAAACTTATTATTATTAATAGATATTATTATATTTTATTAAAATTTAAACTCAAATATTATATTATATTTAATTTAAAATTTTATGTATACATTAAATGTTAAGAACATGTATATAATGTCTTTTAAAAAGTTATGAGATTATATTTATTCAATGTTATATTATTATTATTAATATTAATTTGATTACAATTTAACTACAGTTGATTGTTAAATCTTGAACTAGTGTCTAAATTAATTTAAAAATCAATATGATTTTAAAAAAATATTAAATAATATTGACCTTTTTTATTGGTTTTAAGTGAAATTAAGGAGAAAAATTGTAAAAATCTATAATATAATAGGTAGTTACTTTAGTCATGATTATGGAAAGAAAATGATCATAGTAAGAATGAGAATAAATATTATAATTTTTTAATCACAAGTTAAAAAATCCTAACAAAAAAAAACTAAATCATTGAGTTATAATATTAGTTTATCAATGGAATGTGTGATATCAGGTGATACAACTAGTTAAGTTTTTGTTTTCATTAATTAAAACTTGGAATTGAATATAATATTTTTCGTGTTATATATTTTTTTAATGCAGATTTGTATTAGGATAAGATAAACAATTCATAATCTCACTAAAAATTTTCAAATATGTTAGTGATTGACTCTATCATTACATGGGATTGGACCTTGTCCCAGTCTACATTTTTTATGTACCAAAAAAAGTCTATAGGTGAAATAAGTAAAAATAGTCGATTTTAAATGATTGAAATAAGTAAAAATAGTCGATTTTAAATGATTATGTTCAGTTGAATTGTGATTTTTAAATATTTTTCATTGTATCTAACTTTGATCAAATAAGTTCTCAATATTTATTTTTGAGGGTTTGATATGCATAACTCACATTTTTAATGGATCAGATAAGTTTAATTGATAAAATAAATAATAAAAATGTTTTCACATGTGTGTGGATAGCAAAATTTTTAGACAAATGAGTGAGTTTGTGAATCCAATGAAAATATGAAAATAAAAATAAAAACAAATTGAACGATTTTTTTCCTCTTTTAATATATGAAAACATGAAAAAAGAAAAAAAAATCTATATCCACTTGGTAACTTTTTTTTTTTTTTTTTAATTTCCATTTTTAAGTCGATACTTTTACCCTTAAATTCCTACGACATGTCTTCGTTTTAAAAATTACCTATTCCCCATTTAAAAAAAAAATCACCTATTACAATTACTATTTTTAAATCTTGATTAATTTAATTTTTTTTTTCTATAACCATCTTCTCTTAACTTATTGTAATTCCATGATAGCCTTCAAAACTATTAAATTTTGTTTAAAAATAAAGAGATGAAATAGTATATATATATATATATTGTACGGGTAGGGGCGTTCAGCCACCCTTTTATCGGCCGCCGAATGGTCGAACCAGGTGACCGATTGCCAATCGGTCACCTGGATCGGCTTATCTTTATTAATTATCTTTAATAAATGATTAAGGGTTAATTAGCTGATTAAGAAGTATTACCTCATACGGTAAGTATGTTATAGGGCCCATAAGGTCCAGGGCTCACGATTGTCAGTATAAATAGCTCAGGTCAAAAGGTAACGTCACTGTTCATTAATTACTCTAGATTTCCGTGCTTGTGCTGACTTGAGCATCGGAGTGCCTTTTGCAGGTACAAACCCGTCTACTCACGTTGGATCGGAATACTCGTTCAGAACACTCGTTCGGCCTTCAGAATACAAGAAGATCATTGGTGTATCCTTATACAGGTACA